TCACTCCGGCAGCCCTGGCACCCTCACGCAGCTGCTGACACTCAGTCGAGAGAATCAAATGCTCCTTCTGCTTGGTGGACAGGATTGACAGCTCCGGTGACCAGTGCCCCGCGCCATGGGGGCACATCGTTTGTTGTTGGACGACATTCACCATCTTGATGAGACCTGCAATGCCAGCGGTGGACTCGGTATGGTTGATATTCCCTTTCACACCGCCGATGCAGACTCGCTGGCTAACCATGTCACCTACACTGTTGACCTCCGTAGGATCCCCAACAGGCGTGCCGGTGCCATGGCACTCCACAGCTCCACAATCTGCGGCTTCAGACCGCCACACCATCCTCATGCATTCCAGTTGCTGGCTGGGAGAAGGGCGAGTGATAGGAGTGACAGACGCCCCATCGCTGTCCTGGGCGATGCCGCGGAGCTCCGCGAGTGGAGGGACAGCGAGATCAGCCCCCAGGTGCCGCATGGCCACAGCTCCCACTCCTTCGGCTCGTCCATAACCATTAGCTTTCATGCTGAACGGCTGGCATCGGCCACCTCGGACACCGCACAGCTTCAATATCGGACTCGAGAAACACATCCGCACGTTTGCTTAAGGCAAAAAGCACCGCTCGCGGTTTATGTGATCTGAGGAGGGCACTGATCATTCCTGCCTCCTTGAGTGCGATGGAGATCTTCGGTTCAAGAATGACATTGACTCCTCAGTTCTGCCCTTGTCTTGTAGTCTCTGCTTCACTAAAATGCAAGGCTGGGCAGTGCTGGCATACTCAAGTCAATCCTATTCAGTCCTATTCATCCTTTTCTTAGCATTGCACCAGGAAGACATGCTAGGGTGTAGGACCACATGTCGTACAAAGACAAGGCACCAACAGCTACAGCGCCGTCCCAGCCATAGCGAAGATTCATCTCGCCCATTGCAACGGCCGATAGCCCAGATGCACATGCCGTGTCCACCGCCGCGCTTGGCCCCGTGAAATGTAAAAAATACGAAACCTGACCACTGAGCATTGAAGATGCGTGGCCTTGGGCCATGTAAGCATTGCAGGTCTTTGGATGCCACCTTAGACGCTCGTATGAAGGCAACGCAGGACCCTGAGTCATGGACAGGCACCCAAACCTTGTACAATCCCACCCCTAAACCCCAAACCCTGGACATGCTCTAGGACGGGTCTGGCACGAAGGTCTTGCCACATTCTGGCTTCCCCTTGTCTGTTGCGCTCTTAGCTTGCAGATTGCACGACCATCCGGCACCTGCTGTTACTCAGTTGTCCCTTCATCTGGTCTGGGATATGGTCCTCCCCGCGTATAATCACACAGGGTATCTACCCAGCATCCCAGACCAGATTAAGGAGACCAGATTAAGGGACGACTGAGTTACGTAGGCATTTGGCCTGGCTGAGACCTTGACATGCGCAATATGGGCGAATGCTGCTACAGTGAGGTTGTGTAGCATGAGATGAATGAGAGTATTCAAAGCTACTGGTAATGCGTACGTTCACACTAAAGACTTGAGATGGCTGGAGCGATCGCTGCCAAGTAAATCCAAGCAGCTGAATGTTGCTGTCGAGATTCATGCTACCGACGTTGACGCCCAC